ATTTATTTCGATTCACCCGCGAAACTATTTGTGGGCGGTGACGTAGGAATCCCGTCCCGTGAGGCTTCGGGCGGAGCAACGCGCGTTCCGAGGTATCGGGCGTGGCCACAAGCGTAATCGACACACGCCTCGGTGCGCGCTTCGCAGATTTTCTTCCGGTTTACTCGGCACACGCATCGGTACCTCGGCACAGTCGGGCACATTACTAGCTGTGACTGGCATATGTGCAAAATGTTCCTTGGTTTTGGGGACAATGGTTGTGCTCCATATTATAGGCCAGTGGTGGTCAACCCGCGGCTCGCGAACCGCATGTGGCTCTTTGGTTGGTTAAATGCGGCTCCCGGGCTTTCACACGACAATTGTCGAAAACGCTTTGGCGATGGCGCTGCCATTCAAACAATGGTGCTTAATACATAGAACGTAATACGTCACCCTATCACCAACCCGTTACTTGATTGACACAGAGGGCAACCCAACATTTGTGTGTTTGTATATTAAGGTTTCATTTATGTTCGGGGGCTCAGGCTGTTGCTCATCGTGGCGCGCGTGCATATGTGCGTGTGTGTGTGTGTGTGTGTGTGTGTGTGTGTGTGTGTGTGTGTGTGTGTGGCTCTTTGCAGTAACACAGTAAAAAAATTGGCTCTTAGTGTCTGACTGGTTGGCCACCCCTGTTATAGGCCAGTCGTCAAATTGCCATAAAACATGCACAACATAACCGGAATGGAAAAGGTCTTTTTCCGTTTCCCTTCAATGTCATTTTTCTTTTCGTCCTTGTTGCCGGGGATGTTTTTTTCCCATCTCCTCACCTTCCGCTTATCTAAACATACTCCTTTGTGGGGACCGGCCCATTGTTTTGAATAAAGGCCTGAGCGTACATGTGTGTTGAAAGTAATAGCAATATGTTTGGAAAACTTGAGTCGGTAAATCACAAAATCCTTTTACTATCACTTTTATCACTTACACATTCCATTCGAAATCAAAACATGACGGAAAATGTATCGATTCATGACTGACAACATTCCACAATTGGATTAAGGTCCAGAGATTGGGTTGGCCACAGCATAACTTTTATTTTTAGTGGTCTGGATTCGAAATGCTATTCATTGACTGGTGTCTTTGGGTCGTTGTTGACACACATTTTTAACCGGCATCGTCTCTCCCAGTATATTGACAAATGCAAATATCAAAAATCATGATTCCTGGTATGCGGTCTACTCTATGTACTGTACCTTTGACAACGCAGTAAGATTACCATTTCCATATCAGAATTCTTTTGGCCCTATTTTGGTTGCCAGGCACCCAATACCCGTAGATATAATGGCACACATGCAGTGGGCTTGTCTGTCAATGACCCCATGGCCATTTGCTCTCCCCAGTCCGCCCCTGCCTGGAGCTGATCATTGCCAAGTCTTTGCCGTTTATGGATCTTCCTTGATCCATTCGAATAGTCGTCTTCAGTTTTCTTTCACTTCCCTCTGGTATTGCCTTCCGATTTAAAGCATCGAAGATCATTTCAGCCAAGATCCCGACCATTTTAAAGACATCTTTATACTCTCCGTACCTTGTCACTCTCATTTTTTTCCCTTGTCAAAATTCATTCTGTACTTCTCTGGAAATAATCTGTACTGCTGGTGCTTTGACATTCGAAATGTTTCGCATTGTCTACAGACTATGTAGTGTCCTGAGTTGTCCTGTCATGTTCATGTCTTGTCTCTCGCCCGCTGCAGCACGTCATGTGTGCAAAAATACTTCAGTCATTGTCAAGTTGAAAGAACTCCCAAAATAAAGTTGCAAGAAAAAAAAAACTGATCTCGCAGCCTTGGAGTGAGAATAAATGTCCATGTTTTTTCATACTATGTATGGGCCTTAAATGTGGCAAAAAACAAAAAACAAAAAACCCACACTCAGTGATGCCTTCTAAGTGTGTTGAGATACGCTGGTCACTTTCCAAACTTTCCAAAAAACAGACAACAGATAACAAATTAAATGGAGAGAGTATGAATCTTAACGGTATTTGCACTCCTCTTATTCAGACAGAAGATTCTCTGAACAACCACACCATCCTGTACCAGATGGTGGCGCTATATGATTATTCTGCTCAAGGTCCAGAGGATTTGGAGTTCAGCGAAGGGGATACAATTGACATCCTGGGTGAAGGTATGATAACAGCAGGTCAATATTTCATGGACAAAAGTATTTTGACATAAGGACATTGTACTTTGTGTTGACGTTGTACTGTACCTTCAGGAATTGACCAAAAAAAAAAAAAAAACAAATCTTATGATGACATCACACTACGAAAGTTAATCGCCAATGGGGGTCGGGGGGCAGCCGTCACGTGGTTCCTTAAATAGAGCGGCCAAATTTTTTTTTTTTAAATTCCGAAATTCCTGTTGGCCAGCACGCCCGTGATTGAGTCTCACATGAAACTTGAGCTGAGGGGTGGCTATTTCGCACATCTGCCTGTCTGAATAAATAAAAGGGCTCCACTTTTATCTCCTCGCTCTTTTGGTGCTCTCTTGGAGTCTCTCTCTTGACATACTCTTGAACTTCTGGACTGGAAGTTGCTCTCTGAAAACACGCTTTCCTGAAACTCTCACTTTTAGAAACAAATCTCTCTTGAAAGTCTCTCTCTTAAAAGAAAAAAATGCAACTGGAGACTTCTTGCTTCCTGTCAATATTTATTTTTACTTTTCCTTTGCCTTTTTTTTCCTTTTTTTGTTGTTTTTTTTTTTTTTTTTTGCTTACGCTCCATGATCGCTAAGTCTCAACGTTCCACTTCAACCACAAGCGGTGAGACTTCCAATTCTCTTGGTTTGGGGGTTTGCGGTCCATGAAACCACCACATGGCAGGTTCGCCGCAACAATCCAGCAGCTCAGAACGCAAGCTGAAGCATAAGCTGGCCCAGCTCCTCATCTGAAGGCCACGAAAGCCACCCGGTGTGGCCCTGACGGAGCTCCGAAAACTGCCAAGCCATGAGAACTCTACCAAACGTTGTTTTTTCCTGCTCTGCTGCCTTACTTTTCCCTCTCTTTTACTTTCCTTCTTTTGTATCTTGCAAACAAGTTGAAGGTCCGTCCACCTGCTCATCATGTGAGACTCCACGGATCAAAAGTAAGTTCCAGCCATGCAGTCCACCCGGGCTAGATTCTAGAGTCTAGAATCTAAACTCTTCCAAGTGACCCCTATTTTCGCCACAGGGGAAACCATGTGGGCAAGTCAACTACCTGATTGGATCTTAAAAAGATCCTGTCATAATACTTTTGTCCCTGGAGTGTATCGCAGCATCATCTTAAGTTTCTATGTTTCTTTGTTGTTTACAGTGAACGAGGAGTGGCTGGAGGGACACTGCGCAGGGAGTATCGGCATCTTCCCCAGCAGCTTTGCCATGAGGGAAAATGAAAACTTGATGCCGTTGTCTGAGTTTTAAAACTGAACCATAATGAACAATACTTTCTCTGAGGTCAGATCTGTTTCAAAAGAAGCTTCACGTCAACCTTGCAAATTGTTAAACAGCACCTTTTATCTTTTGTTTTACTTGGAGTTGACAACATGGCGCCGTGTACGGGGGTCCTTTAGTGAGTTCTGTTCCCTCTGTTTTTGTATGTTAATCACACGCAAAACTGCACTCTTATGCTCATGAAGGGCTCTGAAAGATTACTACTCCTGCGGACCTTGCCAATTTTTTCTTAGCAGACTGAGATGCCGTAGAAGAGGGAAGCAAGCTGGCCAATGGGCGATATGACGCCGGTACATTTATTCCGTTACTCCCGAACCATGTTCACAACTCAAATACTCAAATCTCACATGTGAATGAGCTCCCCCATTACTACTCTTACCTGAAAGGGCATTACTCATAAAATAAATAAATAAATGAAATAAAATAAAATTTTAAAGGCCTTTGAACAGAATAGTGTAGACCACAGGTTTCAAACTCAAGGCCTGGGGGCCAGATCTGGCCCACCACATCATTTTATGTGGCCCGCGAAAGAAAATCAAACATATCAACTTCCATGATGCTTGCTAAAATCTCAACCAAAAATTTAAAATTCTCATATGTAATAAATAAGAAACATATTGTCAGCATTTTCTTGTAACCAAACCCCTCATTAGATTAACTTAAACAATAGTTGAATAAACCATTATGATTGACTTCTTTTATTTGGTTTCAGTCATAATGGCCCTCCAAGAGAAACAGTAGCTAAAATGTGGCCCACGATAAAAATAAGTTTGACATCCCCGGTGTAGACTTTTCATGATCTGAGCCAGTGGCCTGTCGATTCGAATTGGCTCACAATCAGCAGTTATATCTAAAACTTTTTCACCAAGAGCGACAGACAGAAAAGGGAAAGGAAGAGGAGGGTCTCACTTCAACTTAAATTTATGAAGCATACTAAAACCAATTCAACATGATGTAGGTCAGACAATGTGGTGGCCGGGGTGAGATTTTACATATGTGGCGCTGTCTCCATTGGCCATTTACATACGCTTCCAAAAGAAGACACATTTTTAATATTGCCCTTCATTTTTTTAAATATCCCCAGAAAATTAAAAATATGTAATGGCACGTTTTCTTCATTTTCCGATGGTTTCGTTCCCAAGAAAGAAGTCATGTGTGTAGTTCTGAAACTGGATGGATGGATGGATGAATGGATGGACTAATCTAATTGGACAAACTTAAAAGAGTAACAACTTGATCTCTCTTTCTTGTCATTCCCATCCTCTTATTTTCTTCCCTGTTCTCTGGATAGTTTTGATCATTTTGAGTTTTTTCCTTTTTCTCTGGGGTCAAATCAATAAATTTGTCCCTTTCTCCACAGAGAGTGAGCAGAAAACTAACTAGCCAAAGGCAGGGAGTATTTAGTATTTTTGTTGGTATTAATATTAATTTGGCATTGCTTTCAATTGTAATCTTTGGAGGCTGTTCCATATCAGTTTGTTGTCAAGTTATTGTAGAGACGTGAAACTTCCTCACTTGAAATAGATTTTTTTTCATCCACAGACAATTTGTTTTCGACATTTTCTTCAATGGTCAAGCAAGGTTTTTCTCTTGTCTACAGTTTATTTGAGCATTCAGTAGTTTCACAGCTCATCAAGAAGTTTAATTTCGAACATTCGTCACTGGCAATGCGATGCATGAAGTGCATTTGATTTTGAATTAGATTTCTGACTTCTCCAAAATATCCCAATATGCACAAAAATAAAACATGTTACGATAAAATCTAAGTCGAAAGAGAAACACAACACACATTTGTGATTTCTGTAACAGCCTGAGATTTACTCATGTCACGTTTCTGCACAACAAATCGGGTTGTGACTGTTGTTTTAACTTATTAGTTTAACATTAAATCATGTACTTACATGCTCTATTTGTCTTTAGTATGACAATTAATGTATTTGCATGTATTTGCAACATTTAAGTGATTAAAAAAAAAAATCATGTTGGATGTGATTTTGTCAAAACTGGATTCTACCCAAAGACAGTTGCAATTGGCTCCAGCACACCCGCAGTCCTCGTGAGGAAAAGCAGCTTGGATGATGGATGGATGGACGGATGCCTCAACTTTTTGGATGAGGCCTTGTTCGTGTGTTTTTTGTCATGGATGTTTATGCTACAGTATGTGCTGTATATAAAAAGAATTGACATTGTTAATGAAAAGTTGTCATAGTTTTGTGAGACAATAACAGGAAAGTTGAAGGAACATTCCCATGTGCTGTTGTAAGTGGAATTAAAGACAAATGTAGAGAGCTAATTATTAGGGTAGCTCACGCATGCACAGAACTATCAGGGGCCTAAATGTGCGCACAATATAATGATGTTGATTCATAAGAACAATTTAAGAATAACATTTGTTTTGCTTTTCTTCCTATCACATGGTTGAACAGAATGGAATGAACTGAAACATAATTAAAAGCATTGAAAACAAATACTGTACTGCCAAATTCAATTTTATCCTTATTTGATACATGTTTTAATGAAGGTACAACTTGAAAGACAGGCCAATCTTGTATTTTGGCTTCATATTTTTATATCAGACGCCTGGGAAGAAGTACCACACAGGCCAAAAACCTCACCGCATGGGACTATGACAGAGGTAGTCCTGGCTAGACTTGCGTCCTGGGCGAGCCACCCCTCATCGCCTCACCAACCCACTTGATAATTGGAAAAGTCATGCAAAACATGTCTCATAATTTGGTAAGTCTTGTAGACATATCCAAAGTCTGATTATGTTGTAGTTAGACTCCGAGCTACCTTAAACTGAAATGTAGTCAATGTGCTTTTATTCATTTTTGAGTGAGGTTTACCACATCTTCTCACAAAGATATTGATTGAATGTCCTTGTCCTTACATGTTTTTTCTGGCACAAATGTTAATTATTCACAAGTTTATTACCGTATTGGCCCGAATATAAGACAGTGGTTTTTGCATTGAAATAAGACTGAAAAAGTCGGAGTCGTTTTATATTCGGGGTCTGGACATTATACCCACTCACGACGCTAGATGGCGCCAGATATCATTGAAGCGAATGCTGAACTTGACTCCCCAGGCCAAAGTGAACCCCTGTCACGAAGAATAAAAATAAAAATAGCGGTAGCACGGAGAAGAAAAAATAAAAAATAGCGGTGAGAAAGAAAATAATAGAAGAGAAAACAAAATGGAGAAACGTAGCGACAATCTGGAGAAAAGTGGGTCGAAGATCAACCAGGTTAACCGGCAGCTGAGGAGAAGTTATGATGTAATTTACTGGAGCGCTTCTCTCTCATTAGCGCTCCAGTTAGCATAAGGTTTTTAGCCTTCGAGAGCTAACTATGGCCATCGAGGACTACGAAGCGTCCCGTGGCTGTTTTTAGCATGATAACAAGTGAAGCATTCCAGGAAACGTTTGTTTATTTGAATGTCCGTCGAGCCATGGGCTGGAGCAGAGAAAATGATTTCGTATAACGCAACAGGGGGGTTTTCGTCGTATGGGGGGCAGGAGAATGGGAATTATGTTAATGCATGAAGATTTTTTCACATAAGGGGGTATTTTCACCCATGTAGGTTTCGTTCTAGAGGAGTTTCACTGTACATATTTAAATGTTCAGAATCTTACATGCATTCTCGATGTCCCGTGTCCTCCATGGCTTGTTGAAGCCTTGATACTTCCTGGTCCTTCTTCCCGATGGACCAAGCAAGCATTTTTTTCGTCACTTTTCACTTCACTGTACGACAAACGTTGTCCATCGGGAAGAAGGACCAGGAAGTATCAAGGCTTCAACAAGCCATGGAGGACACAGGGCATCGAGAATGCATGTAAGAAGGAAAACTGCCCAACAAACGGGTTTGAAAGAACAAAAGCTGCTGAACCTAATGAGAAGAGATGCAAAAATAAATTACCGGTAGTAAATATTATAGACCAGTTTCATGTTTACAAACATTGGAGGATGTGCATGCATCTTGTAGGCAAAATCACTCGTCGGTGAACAGAATCCGCTCACGCACCGCTGCCTGGATTTGACAAATACCCCAAGCGTTTTCACATATGAGACGCTCAAAGTCTACAAGAGTCTTGATGCCTATAATTACGTGCTCGTGGAGGCTCTGAGTCGTACAGGAAAGTTCTCTGGTGAATTTGATCAAATTCACCAGAGAAGAACTTTCCTGTACGACTCAGAGCCTCCACGAGCACGTAATTATAGGCATCAAGACTCTTGTAGACTTTGAGCGTCTCATATGTGAAAACGCTTGGGGTATTTGTCAAATCCAGGCAGCGGTGCGTGAGCGGATTCTGTTCACCGACGAGTGATTTTGCCTACAAGATGCATGCACATCCTCCAATGTTTGTAAACATGAAACTGGTCTATAATATTTACTACCGGTAATTTATTTTTGCATCTCTTCTCATTAGGTTCAGCAGCTTTTGTTCTTTCAAACCCGTTTGTTGGGCAGTTTTCCTTCTTACATGCATTCTCGATGCCCTGTGTCCTCCATGGCTTGTTGAAGCCTTGATACTTCCTGGTCCTTCTTCCCGATGGACAACGTTTGTCGTACAGTGAAGTGAAAAGTGACGAAAAAATGGTTGCTAGGAGAGATTTGGATCTTCATTTGAGTACGTAAAGCAAAGTTAAATAAATGACTCGACACACAGGGAAGATTGTCTTTCTGATCGGCGGAAGAGAATCTCTCAAAGCGAATGATGGCGGTTGCTTCGTGATCACTCTTAAGAGTTCCTTGTCCTCCCGCCGGACTTTTATTGTTCATATATGCAAAATACAAGAAAAACACTGCTCCCGACATTTGCATACGCCCCCGGTCCGGCCCCTCGGTAGTGATCTGATTACCTTGGTTTAAGCTTTGAAACACAGATACATTGACACCTTTCAGTCTGGTCTATAACGAACCAGCAAGTTGCAGACTTCGCAGGTGACAAATGTCCGCCTGGGCGCGACACCCATTCCCAAACTGTCTTTTGATGTTCTACAACACTTCGTTTATTGTTTATTCCCACTTTCACTTTGTGACCGAGTCTAGCCTTCTTCCATCTGTCCACCCCCTTGTTTTAACGTGATTACTGTGGACTTCAAAAAGCCCCCCTCCCTGAGAGAAGCGAAACGTCCTTTTTTGTTTTTTGTTTTTTACCCACAAGTACAGATGACGACTGACGGAACCCTTTCTACGATATAATTACGTGGTATGTGGCCATGTTTAGTTGGTTATTTTTCATCAAGCTGCTGAAAACTGTGACTCTTGTTTCCTGAAAGCCGATGTCTTGAGGGACACAAGTCTTAGTGTTATCATGCATGGGTATGTGTGAATAAGAAGACTGGCTCTTAGTGTATTGTATTGTATTGTATTGTATTGTTTATTACCCGGTTCCGGGTCGCTGCGCTGTGGTCGACCGGTCTACGTCCGGAGCGGTTTTTCTTACTTTTCTTGCTTTTTTTCCACATTTCTCACCTACACTCCGTGCTTTTCCGAGCTCCGCAGGCCCGCGTTACTTTAGCGCGGCTGTTCGAGCTATTAATCCCGCACTTTTCCCCCTTCGATTATCTTTTCCTTTCTTTCTTTGGCCCGGGTGCTACCGGCGAGCGAGTGCTACAGCTAGCGCCTTCAGCTAGCCCGGTGCTAATGGCGAGTGCTCCTAGCCGGTGCTAACGACATCAACACTGCACCTCCACAATATTTTTGGCTCAACTCAACTTAAGACTTACGCCAAATATGATCACCTACACGAAGGAACAGCTGCTGCTTCTCAGAGACGTCCTGCTGCCGGTCCCCCCTCTCATCGTTGGGCTCCCCGACGCGATGTGCCTCCGCAGT